GGGTGTGGGTGTGGGTGGGGTGTGGGGTGTGGGTGTGCGTGTGGGTGGGGTGTGGGGTGTGGGGTGTGGGGTGTGGGTGGGTTTGGGGTGTGGGTGTGGGTGTGGAGTGTGGGTTCCCGCGAAGAGAAGATCCATACCCGAACCCCCACCCGCACCCACACCCACACACCCCTACCTCCACCTCCCACCCACACCCACACCCACACCCTCTGTTTTAACGAAGCACACCAAATCTTTGATCAGTTTAAAACCGATTCTTGCAAAGCACACTAATAAAAAATTGACATGATCTGAATGTCCAAAAAAAAAAACAATGATATTGAGGTCATCAAGGCGACGAACACAATAGAAAAAAGTATATGAAGGTGTGTCTTTGAATTTGTGCTGGGATTCATATTAAATATCAAATGACCTAACAGAAAAGATTCGCTCTCGATTTAATCAATCTAATTCAGAAAACAATATTTCATCACTCAGTGAAGTTTCTTGATGATCCGAATTGATTCGTACTATTACGAACTCGGTCTGAATCGATATGCTCTAATATGTTTCAGTAGTTAGAAGATTTTATGATTTCCGCAAACTACATTTAGATTCTCTTTATGAAAGTGACAAAATATAATCATTTTCATAAATCTGTAACTGTACGATAGTTTATTGTGATAATGCACATTCGTTTTCTATCTTTGTCAATTGCATATCATTTAGCTTTATCATAATAAAACAATGATTGCATTGTTTTTTTTTTTGGCTTCTGGGATTTTAATCAGCTTTGCTAACCTTGATCAACAAATTATAAGTCAAATAATCAACGAGAAAATTAACATCTGTTAAAAAATTGTCATAAATAAAAATCGAATGAAACTCAAGGCACAAAATAATTCCAACAATGAAAATATTTATAGTATTATTCGTTATTTATCTAGCATCTACCAATATTCATAGTAAAGTAATTTTTATGATGAAAAAGAAAAAATTTTAATTTTCTTCTATTTTTAATTTAGTTAGTAGTGCAGAAATTGATTGTACTATCTATGACAATGATATTGATGCTATCAGCATGAATCCATTTTATGCTCGGCGTAGTGGGCCGTCGGGTTTTAATGCTGTTACATACACGAGGTACACTAATCGGGGTTCTACACCGACAGTTATAGAATTTAATATATTTAATGATGTTAATCCATCTTCAAGTATATATTGTTTGAAAGATTTACAAAAACTTCAATTAATAAATACAAATTTAACAATATTGCCTGATATAAAAAATTTTCAAAATTTAACATCATTAGTAATACAAACAGATTATGGTAGTATTGATCAACATTTGCCATCTGGATTTGGACAATTAATATCTTTATTAAATTTAAAATTATCTAATATTAAAAATCTTGAAGATTTACCTGATGAAATTAAATATTTAATTCAATTACAATCATTAACATTAGAAAATATTCCAAGTTTTAATAAAATACCTGATGAAAGTATTGGTAAATTAACAAAACTAAATACATTAAATTTAATTGATTTACCAAATTTATCAAATTTACCATCAACAATGATTAATTTTGAATTATTACAACAATTAGAAATAACTAAAACAAATATTACTAATATACAATTAGATACTTTAACAAGTTTAAATAGTTTAAAAATAACATCTAATTTAATGTTACAAACAGTTCAAATACGAAATTTACCTTTATTACAATCATTAGCAATATCACCAAATAAAAAATTAATTTCTTTAGATATTGAAAATCTACCATCTATTACAACAATATCAATAGCAGATAATACACAATTACAAAATGTTTCATTTATTAATCTACCATCTATTACAACAATATCAATAATAGATAGTACACAATTACAAAATGTTTCATTTATTAATGTACCATCAATAAAAAATCTTGACTTGTCGAGATGTCAATTAACAATATTTCCTGAAAGTATTTTAACATTAAAATCTTTAGTGACATTAGTTATGACATCAAATCAATTATCAACGATACCATTAACATTATCAAGTGATTTACCTAATTTACAAGTTCTTAATTTGGCGAATAATAAACTTCAAGGAAATATTTTTCAACCAACACTTGTCTATATTCGTGAACTTTATCTTCGTAATAATTCATTAACATGCATGGATGGTATTGGAAAACATAAATCTTTACAACGATTAGATTTAGATTCTAATCAGATTTCATCAATTCCACTTGAAATCATGAAACTATCATCGACATTAAAGCAAATAACAATGAATAATAATCTATTGAATCATATTCCATACCAAATGACAAATATGGGATCATTAGAAAGTTTCTCTGTTGGTCGGAATAATTTTACCTCTGGAGAACGCGAATATCTCATTAAGTTATTCAGTTCATCACCTGTAAAACTTTATTTTTCAAATTAAAAAGCATACTTTATTATAAGTCGATTCATATTTATTGAATAAATAAAAGACATCCAGCTTATCAAGAAAAAAGAAAAGTTTCTTTTGATGCAAAGATCTTTGGCAATAAAATAACATTGAATATTATGACACACGAATAACCTACTTCAATAGTAAATAGTAGATTAGTCTGATTCGTTGAATTATTGTACTCTACCATTAAAAGCTTAAAAACAGAAAAAGCACTAAAATAGATCACTTCTAGTAAATACTCTCATAGTATTTAATTACGTCAGTTGTCAAGCACATATTCGAAGATGAAAATGAAACACTTATTGATTACATTATCATCATCATCATCATTTAAACTTACTCTCAACCAATTATTCAATTATTAATGTCGTAGTCCACACAAGTCATGTCTATCGAAATGACTTTTCGTGGTACGCACTACTATAGTACACCTCACATTAGCTGATAAATTGACATAGTTCATCTATGAAGAATTGCAAAATTTTTGGAATTTTTATGAACAAATAAGATAACAATATGAATTAGAAAACAATCGAAAACTTATAATGGTATTAATCTCTTAGAGAACTTGAAATTCTAAAAGTATTTCTGAATCTTAGTTGTTTTTTTTTCAAATATCTTCACATAAAGCAATTTAATAGTAAAATGACTTTGATATTAGGCGAGTAGGGTGTTGCTGAACCGATAGTTTCATAAATTTGATATCTTACAATTATTACTAGCTGTAACTATTAATATAAAGATCGGTTTCTGTTACAACCTAATCATCATGCTATTGGACGGATGATCCATGCCGATAAGCCATTTATGACTTGCCTAAAATTATTTCATGATCGATGAATTCAAGACTCGAGTACGATATCTTTCAGAGATATATCCAATAACGTAACTAATCAATAATAGCGAACTGTAAAAAAAAGACCAACACTTTTCTAAACACTGACTTACACTAAAGTTTTTCCTCCATTCAAAACTAAAATAACAAAATTTTAGCTTCGATAGATTTTTTACATCCTTTCGGTTACTATTTCTTTTCATTCAAATTTTGTTTGAAAACATTTTGAGATGCTCTACAAGATACTACTAAATATAAAATAGATTTGTTGTTGAAGTTTCGAGCTCTCTTGTATAGTTACGATTATCAAACTATGAAAACTTTTTTAATTGCATATCATAGAGATTTTTCAAATTCCATCTAAACATACAAAATTCAACATCCGACAAGAATTATCAACATGTTAAAATAAATATCCTATGCTATGGAACTTATAACGACATAGATAAGAATTTCAACGAGAACTGATGAAATTTTTGTGAAATTAATGAAAAAATAACTAGATTTATTAAAAGTGTGCATCAAGAGAAGATCTACATCCTTAACTTCTATAAACTTGCATCATTTTATGACATCAAAGATTTTTGTTGTTCTCTTGTGCTTGTTCGTGCCTTACAGATAAATTCAAAGAAAAAACAAAGATAAAATACTGTGACACCATTCCGCGAAAGAGAAAAATATTTTATCGATGCAATAAAGAAACGTAGATGCAAGGCAAAGACGTCATGATATATATATATATATAGAATATATATTTTGTTTGATATCGATCGTAAGTGATAAGACTATCTCGCTGTTGCATAAAGATTTTCTTTCCCCGAATGTAGAATAAGATGCTGGTCTTCTTTTGATTCTCACCGTCATACTGTGAATGAGGCATCGATCAGTTCGATAACGGAATAATTAGATATAACATTGAATAGAATTTCATGCTCAATAAGAAAAATAATTAAAATAAATTATTTCTTGTTCAAAGAAACTTGATCATGCAGTAATGTTGATGAGAAAATAAATCGTTTCTGAACATTTATAATATAATATTTAATTCAATTGGCATAATTCTTCAACGACAAAAGAGTCAACGATGATGCTATAATCGATCACTGAATCTATCGAGATTGGTTCGATTCAGAGAGAGTTAAGAGAAAATCTGGTTGCGGACTAACAAGTCGATTCCGAGTGAACCACAATGTATTCTTCTTTGGAACAGAACTAACTTCTAGAATTAGTTCTTAACTTAGAATCTAAGATGACCAAATTCGAGAACAAGTTTCTCGCTCTGTTTCTGACAGTCACATCATAAAAGATCAGAAAAGCATCTTTAATATACTTTCCTATGAGAATAGATACGAGCAAGAACTGAAAAAAACATACGTGTAATAGTATCTATGAAAACGAAATCTTTTTTCATCTTTTATTTGCCTTACAAATCATTTTATTAGTTATTGACAACCTTCAGTGTCATTTTTTTAAATATTTCGATTCAACTATCCGATCAACAATTATTAATGTCTTCTACAAAATTACATAATGACGGTGGTGTTTGTGAGTCAAAATAGTTCTTGAATCCATTCACTTTCTTTTTCATCGAAATTGTTATTGTGAATGTTGAGCGTTTGGAAATTTTTGATTTGGTAAAGTGAATCAGGCGGCGTTGTGAGTAGATTGCTGGATAAATCCAAGTATTCAAAGGTGTGGGCGTGTGGATGTGGCTGGGGGTGGGAGTGTGTACTGTAGGTGTGGTGCGGGTCTGTAACGATCACCACTCACATCTACACCGACACTCACACCCACACTCAACACCCACGCCCTCTCTTAATCAAACTATGGAGTTTTGGTATGCCGATCGAGTTACTGAAAGTAACCGAAAGCTGGTTAAAAGATAGGTGGGTTTATGCCACCTTTGGCGAAAAAACGTCAAAAATGTTCAATATAAATATAGGACTCCCACAGGTTAGTTGTTTAAGTCCATACTTGTTCATAGTATTCCACTGTGATTTAATAAACTGTCTAGGAGTGCATTCGTGTCACCTTTTCGCAGACGATCTGAGTGTTTTAATTAAGCCATCCATTCTGAAGGAACTAGCTCAAATGACTCAATATCTAGAGAAAGAAGGTACTCGAATCTGTAATGAAATATATGCATACTCGAAGAAATGAAAGCAACTGAGAGATGTAACTAAAAAAGTGGCACATTTATTTCATACACAAGTAAAAAGACCACTAGTAAATGTAGTAATGAACGGAGAAAAAATCGAGTTAGTTAGAGACTTCAAATACTTAGGGTTCATATGGACAGATAAACTATTCTTGAAACCTACTGTCGATAAATGCATTGGGAATAATCAGAGATCCTTAGGTAAACGAAGATGGTTAAATACTGGTAAAATTATGTCATCTAAAGTACTTCGTCCATGCTTCTTTGCATATACATTTCCTCACTTTGCATGGTTATTTCCCGTCTACCCTCTGCTACCAGAAATGCAGAAACAAATATTGAAAAAAAAATTCCGTATGGGTCTTAGATTAGTGTATCGCTGTCCTTTCGTCTCCGCACTTAATCTTTTCACTGGAACGTTAGAGTTCCCCTTAGAATTCTACAAAACAAAAAAACGATCACCTCGGTTAAGTTTTTCATATATGACGTGTGCGATTACTAATAGACCGACACAAGTCGTTCCTTTTGAAATAGTTGAATTTCGTTGAAACGAATTAGTACAAACGTGGTACTCCTTTTTATTTTTTATTTTTCTTTTATTTTTCTTCACTCCTTTCTTTGTGAAAAGTAGCATCCTTCACTCACTCGTTTCTTCTTCTCCGTTTCTTTATTTTATTCTTTCTGTCTTTATTTTTTTTCCTTTGTTCTTTTTTTTTGATTCTCATTCCCCAATCTCTCTACCAGCATAGTCAACTCGTCAAAAGGCGTTGATATTAAAGAAATGACGAATTTTAAAACGCTCTGCTTATACATGTTATATTTGATGTTAATATCGCAAAGTTCTTTTCCTTATTTTTATGTAAGCACTTCCGAGTGTTACATTCACCAGCAAAATAAAAAAAAATAATTTTTGAAAAAGCATTTTAAAAATTGATATCAATGGAGACCTTTATTTTTCTTCTGTAAGTTTATATTGATGACGAGTGCTATCACAAACATTATATTGAAAAATGAAAGTTTTTTTTTCCACTGTATTATTCTTTGACTTGAACCAACTACTGCTAATCTCCCGAGAGGATTCAAATTAAAAAACAAAAAATAGTGTAAATGAATAGAAAACTGTATGTTCAGCATCGTTTTTAATGACATTATATCGATTAAAGTCGATCCGTTTAAGGTAATAATACAACAAATAACATACTTCTGCATGAGATGGTATGATTTAATAGAAATCGAAAGTGTACCGCATTCATGGTGTAAATTATCAGAAATACTATTATTTTTATGGTTTTTTTTAGGCTTCTTTTCTTTGAGATATGAAACGATAATGTTTTAATTGATCTAAATATTCTTTGAATAGAAGAGCAAATGATAAAGCTTTTTTTTTTATTCTGTTCAAACTCAACCATACAGTTTTTTTTATCTACTCACATTATAGCACTCTAACAAATAAGTTCATATGAAATAAAAAATTGTTAATTCATCTAATGTTTATAATCAAAATAGAAAAAAGTTGTTAACACAATGTAAAATAAATTTTCTATGAAGATAAAAATGGAAGCAACCGAGAAAGATAATATTTGTGAGATTTTTGTTTTTACTTTTTTTTGTGTTGTATGTTCTATTGTGTTTTTCAGACATTTGGAGAAGAGCAGAATTATTTAAGTTACTTTCAAGATAGATTAGCATGATAGCAAGAATTTTTGTTTCTGTTAACGATCTTCAACAACATCATACCATGTACTTCACAAAAATGTATGCTTTATGAAAATGTCATTGAACATCGTGGTTAGAAATTTCAATATTTCAAATTAACTTCTCAATTGTATACTATTAAAAAAGTATCAAGTGACCATGAATGCCGAATAGCATGCTTAGCCGAAGAACAGTATCGAATAGTTTATTTTCGTTAATCATTGAATCAATGTGAACTATTTACTCATAGATCAGACACGAATGGAGATTTGATCGCAAGTAGTGATACTATAGCTATAA